GGGACACAGGGGACACCGTCTTAAAGGGGCCGTGTCCCCAACAAGTCTGGGGACACGGCCTTAAAGGGGCAGTGTCCCAATCTTCCTGATGTCCCAAGGTGTTTAAAGGGCCAGCACCAGTCACATAAAGAGTCCATAAGCCCCAATATGCCCACCGACAGTCTTAAAGGGCCATACACACCAAATAGAAGTGCATACATTTTCACAATCTCCCAGGGGCCATAGTCATGCGGGAGGAGGCTGGCAAAGAGGCTTCTCCACAACCCAGGGAAACAGGGCAATTTGCCATTTAAAGGGCCCGTTACAAATAGCAGTTTGTAACAAGGTGTCAATCCATATCTGCCAAGTGACCCTATGTAGGGGTAACAGTCCCTATTCTGCTCTGTCAGTGTGTATCAGGGACCCTTAGGACAGGTGTCAATCCATATCTGCCAAGTGACCCTATGTAGGGGACCAGTCTCTATTCTGCTCTGTGTCCGTGTGCATCAGGGGCTCTGAGGACAGGTGTCAATCCATATGTCAAGGTGTCAATATGTCATATGTCAGGTGTCAATCCATATTGATTGTGATTTAGGAATGTTAGGTGATTTCTGCCCTTTATGGATTAAAACCAGACTCTGTATCAACTGTGTAATTTTCCATGGGAGTTTTGCCATGGATCCCCCTCCGGCATGCCACAGTCCAGGTGTTAGTCCCCTTGAAACAACTTTTCCATCCCTATTGTGGCCAGAAAGAGTCCCTGTGTGTTTTAAAATTCGCCTCCCCATTGAAGTCAATGGCGTTTCGGGCGGTTCGCCGGTTCGCGAACATTTGCGGAAGTTCGCGTTCGCCGTTCGCGAACCGAAAATTTCGGGTTCGCGACATCACTAGTCCTGATGGATACACTGGGAAATATTATAAAGAACTATCACACATCCTAGCCCAACCGTTCATAGACGCATACAATACCAGTAATATCTCTTCTCACATTCCGACTTCGGCCCTAGAAGCTACCATTACATTAATCCCGAAACCAGGAAAAGATACTACTATATGTGGGAACTTTAGGCCTATCTCTCTCATAAACATTGATTTGAAGATTCTTACAAAGATAATGGCCACTAGACTTAAGCCATTCATGCCGGGCCTTATACATCATGATCAGGCAGGATTTGTCATAGGTAGGGAAGCAAAGAATAACACTACCAAAGTCATTAATCTTGTCCACTGGGCCCAAACACACAAGACTCAAAGCACACTGTTGGCTATTGACGCTGAAAAGGCATTTGATAGAGTCAATTGGTCACTCCTAAAACTTACAATGTGATTCTTAAATTTTGGCACTAGGTGGTTGGAGTGGCTGGATGTGATATACTCAAAAACCGTCAGCGAGAATGAGAATAAATGGCCAACTATCTGATCCGGTTACCATCTCAAAAGGCACGAGGC